TACATGTGCTACTACAGATCTCGTGCTGTGCAGCATGCACGTGCATCCTCCAGGCCAGTTTTGGCACTTCACATACAACTTTCTGCTCTTTTATTGCGGAATCTGATTGACTCAATGCTGCAAAATTGGTAGGAATGTCTGCAGTGTGGTTCTGTAATTGTGGAAGGCGGAAAACTTGTTAAAGCGGGTTCAAGGTGCTTTGGAAGCTCGGCCTTGTTTTCTGAGAGGCCAGCTACAGTCTGTGCACTGTCTGATGGATGGAGTCAATGCCATGGCAATTTCCTTCTGGTTTTCTTTTTGATCTGTGAAAGGTTTGGGAGATGTGTTCAAGAGCAGCACGGGTTTTGGCAAGCAGTCTGTAATAAGTCAGTAATGTCTGACTGGGGCTGAGGCTGCAGCACCTGCCCGTTGTTCTGTGGGTGTGTGGCTGTTGTGTCATCAGCTCACCGAAGGTCCAAAGCCTGCACCGTGGGATGTCTGAGAAGAGGCTGACAGAGGCTCAGGCGCTGTGGTGGTACAGGATTTGGTGTAACTTGTCTCCTGAGACAGACAGCATCGTCTGTGAAAGAGTCCACTGCAGTATGGTGGGATGAGGAAAATCAGCACAGAATTCTTGGGAGGAGTTCCATCGTAACAGGGTCTGGTTTTGGCATGGCAGCCGTGCATCAGCCAGGCTGTGGGCAGTGGGTTTGATCCGCCAGCAGCAGGACACACCTGGATGAGCTCCCTGTGTGCCCGTGTTTCACCCGGTGAAGGTTATTCTCATACCTCAACGGCTGTGTCTGGACGAAGGCAGTGATAAGAGAAACTTTTATGTTATGAAATCTGTCTGGGGCGTCATGCCTCGCTGAATACAGGGGAGGGCAGGAATAAATGCAAGGCCGACATGCTTGGTGTTGTGCAATCGCAGCGTGCTGGAGCTGTGTGACTTGGTTACGAATGCATGAGCTGGTTGCAACTTGATTGTTAGCCTTCGATGTTATCTTACCCCAATGGTAAAGCAGTGTTCTTTGCCTGCCTCTGTAGGAAAAATTGACACTGCCACCTGCAAAAATAGCATGGGTTTATAGCAGTCCAGGCTTATCAGTTTGTGGCTTTTGTTGTTGTTTCGGGGCGTTATTGCAGTGATTATGGTTGCCTCTCTGTCTTGCAGAGCTTGACACACCAGGTAGTTCCTGGAGGCTGACCGTTGTTCAGGAACAAAGCTGGGGAATTTTCCTTCTCCTGAAGCTGGTGAGTCAGCACAATCCGCTAGTGGGATGATGTGCAAGTGAAAATTGCACTGCCTCCACAAGACCTGATTATAGAAATAGAAATGGAAGTTTCTAGATGCTCTTGTGACACAGCACGTTTCTCTTAAGCTGCTCCAGGAGGCTGATGGGGTAACTCACCCACATGAATACAGGTCCCACAGTCTCTGTTTAAACAAGAGCAGGGACTTGGCCTTACCCAGCAAATAGCCAGTGCCTGCTATGAGGTGCGAGAAGGCTTCCGTGCCCTTCCCAGCCTGGTGACTGCTGGTGCTCAACGAAGTGGGCTGGGTTTGAAGTGGCATCTTTAAGCAGGAGTCTCTTGGTTCTGCTGCTGCTGGTCGGGGCCGTTCAGGGCATTGTGCTCTGCCACAGGCTGCTGAGGAGCACGGCCCCTCACCCCTGAGGTGAACTTGCAGTGCTCCTTCAGCAGGAGTAGAGCTAACCTACATCTTTCACGTCAGCCTCTGCTTGCTGCTCTTCATGCTGCCCCACTTCTCTCTGTGTTTTGTGCAGTGTCCTACAGTGTGGGCTTTGCAGAGCCTCTGGTCTGAGCTGCAGCTTACTGCTAGTGAGGTGTGCATGGATAGCCATTAGGTTTGCTCCCTATTTATTGTGCAGCTTTGTTTGGGGGGCTAAATAAGCTGCAGCAGGCACAAGTTAGGTTGCAGAGGAAAGGGGTTGGCCTGTGGTGGGGATTGCCTAAAGGGCAGCTGTGTCTGGTCAGGGATATACGGTGCTCCAACAGCGTTTACTGTAGAGCTCTTAAACTGTTGCAGGTGAATTGTTCCAGTAAAAGGTCTGCAGGAGCAGGAGAGGGGCTGCCTGCTTTCTTCTGCTGCTTCTGCAGGCTTGGCCTGGGGGTTTTCCTGAGGCTTTTTCCTCACCGAAGTTGTGAAGCAAATCTGCTCTCTCCTCTACCAAATGCTTTACTCAGTTCTCTCCCACAGCTGCGGAGGTGGGCGTGGGTTTTAATCTCACACAATTCAATTCACCTCAGGGTAAAAATGGGGCCATTTCTGCCCCCTGTGCTGTGTTTGATGCAATGTGTCTGTGATGCCTGAGAGCTGGGGGAGCTGGGGGCGCGAGCCCAGCCCTGCACTGCTGTAGGGCCAGGGTGTCACAGGGAGGTGAGGAGGGGGAAGGTGAAGCTGTTCATCTCAGCATCTCTTCCCCCATACTCATGTGTGAGCACTTAGCAGTGCACTGAGCTGCTCCGAGTTTTCTTTGCTTGTAGTCCACTTGGACTGGCTAAGCCTGCAGATTAAAAATGTTTAAAGAGTTTGGTCTTTGCAAAACTAGACTTTCAGCTGCCTTTAGCTGATGGAATGAGCCTCATTTTTCTCATGCTTTCCTTAAAGCCAAGCTAGAGGTGTTGAGATGAGGTGCTTTCTTGCACCGTAGTGTGAGCAGATAATTTCAGTTGTTGAACTCAGGTGTCTGCGCACAGCTAACAGGCACGTGCTGCTGCCTTCCGGTGCTGTGAGGAGCAGAGCAGCTTGCTGGGTTGTTTGGTGACAGCGCTGCGGTGCGTGCTGAAGCCAGCCCATAAATAAGGCAGAGGGAAGAGCTGTGGCTGCAGATAAGCACTGAGCGCTGCTCTCGGCTCTGACAGCTTTGGCCCAGAGCTTAGGAGCAGAGCTCAGCTCGCTTAGAGCAACACTACCATAGTAGGAAGCAGCCCAGAAAAGCAGTTCAGCGCCATGCATCAGCGCAGCACCCAACATCATATAGTGGAGCTGAGCAGTGGAATTCAGCTTTAGTATTTTTAAACCTCACGCTGTTGTTTTTGAAGGGTCTCAGCCGTCACCTAATTTGGATAACGCTGTGCTGCTACCACAGCCCAGAGTTTAAGAGGCATTACATTTAATTTAAAACACATTACTCGCTTTTGAAGTTGCTTATTTAGAGAGGCTCTGCCTGTACCCTCACTCCCCTCCTCTTACTCCAAACAAAACTTAGTTTATGAGATTTAGAGCAGAGCATCAGAGGACACTTGGCAGATGTAGCTTTTATCCCTTGAGTGCTTTAGTCTTGCTTAATGCTTAAGGAGGTCTGGGAGCCTGCGGGTGTGAGCAGGGTTCGGGAACAGAAAGAGCCCCGGTGCAGCTGAGTGCAGGCTGGCCAGTGCAGGATGGAGCAAGCACACAGGTGGTTCATCTTCCTTTGTCTGGGAAGAAGAAAAAGCCAAGCAGCTACGAAGCTCTGAAAGCATTTAGAAAACAGAAAAGGACAAAAAATGAACGTGTAATTGGGAAAGAAATGTTTATTTTCAGTTTATCAGAGGGATTTACAAACAATGGAGCATTAAAAAAAAAAAAAAAAGTGATCAAACTACTTGACAGTGTCCCTTAAACACACACACAAGCCCCTGGGCAGAGGAAATCACACCAGCGAGGAGGTCATAGTGCTGGAAGAGCAGCTGGCATCTGCATAGTTCTAGAAGGAAAGAGTGCAATGCTGTTGGTGTGAGTTTGTGCCATCCGGCATTAATGTCAGAGCAGCTGAAGGACGCACGCACGTACCTGCAGAACACAAAGTGCATCAAATAACACGCCAGGTATGTATTGTAGAATAAATTTATTTACCTGATACAAATGAAACTGGGTGTGATGCTTCTTACTGTCAGCACGGAAGTAGACAACTGATCTTATTTACAGCTTCTAAAGGTCATACATGCAGTTGTGGCAACTGGCTGAGTCGTTTGCTGCTGTCTAGATGAACGCATCACGATATTTTGTATTGCACCAACATCTGTCTCACTGCCTTAGATTTAAATAAGTTACATTACAGTGCAAAACAGGTCGATTTGCACGCGTGATAAAAAACCCAAAGTTATGAACTGGAGGCTCACAGTTTAACATTCAGCTGTAGTCTTGTCCATGAATTGTATAAATAGGATCGCATTGTACATCAGCTGTATAGAGCAGGATGTGTGATGATACAATACAGGTTTGTCCACAACCCAAGGCATGCATTACTCCGAAATCATACATCGTATAAACTGACATTTTACATACAGGAATATGGAAAATTGGCTGACAGCTCAGCGCTTCTCGTTCAGGGATAAACAAGCTCTTCTCCATGCAGCACAGAACCCAAACTTCTCTGGAGAGAGTTTCCAATTCTGTAAGCTATATTGCACGTTTGTACATCTGAAGTCCTACTGGTACCACACATTTCTTCCACAGAGAACACAATGAGCTTTGTTTTGAGGGAAAGCAAAGAATCTTTACACATGATACATGCAGCAGTTTTGGTAGATGTGTTGCTAAAAACACATGCACGCAACAAAACAACCTCACATTTCTGCAAAATTGTTTAGGAAGCGATTACTCCAGTATTGCTGAAAAGGAAAGAAAGAAAAGGTATCAGTTAATGAAAGGATGAATGCTAAGTACCGTTCTAAAAGCAAGACTAAGATCTACAGTGACAGAAAAAGGAATGTTAAGTCTGATAACCAACTGCTCTGTCATTGAAGGGACACTCTCAGGTTACTTGGTTCTGAAAGCCGGGGCGTTCTGGAGCACCACTCAGCTCTCCTGAACGCAGCAGAGCCGCCTTTATCAGCAGCACAGGGCAGCACTCCCTGCCAAAGGCCGCAAAGGGAAGTCAGGGGCGTTTGAAGAGCTCCTGTGCTTCCCTGCCTCCCGTCTCGCTTCACTTCTTACTTCCAAGTTCTCCCATTACACAGTCGGAGCTTTTTTCTCCCCCAGTCTAAAAATACCTTCAAGGTGTTGTTTTTTTCCCCCCCCCCTAATTGAGACATTATATTGCAAATTCAGCCCAGGAGTGACCTAACAATGTCCCTCTTTCAAGCTTGGCAGCTCGTTCTGTGAAGCAGTAGGAAAGCTTTAAAGAAGTCATTAACTAAGCAGATTAATGTGTAGGCAAAGGGTAGAAGTACAACCCAGCTCCGGGCGTACTGCACCCCGCACCACAGCACCAGGTTGGCCTTGTGTCAGCAAGGAGGGTGTATCTGACTGCCTGGGACTGAATGCTGGCTCTTCAAAACTCTGCTTCAACACTAAAATTTAGGTTCTCCTGCTAGGATTTGAGAATGCATGATATTAATGTCATTAAGGATGTAAATAGCAGAGATTAGGGAAACAGTTAATGGTTAGAAGTGCAAAGAGGTAAACAAGACAGGTGCAAGAGACAGACAGGTTTGTATCAGTTTTACCTCCCTTCATCTCAGCGAATTCAACAGCCTTTAAGCAGCTACCAGATACATTCTTTGCATCAGCTGTGTTCTTGGAACTGTGACAGAGGACTGCTGTACTGCATTTTATCATCAGATTAAAAACTCATTTTCTTACCATTAGCTTTTTCCAGAATGGCCCCTTTACAACCACAAGCTTCGCAGCACTCTGACAGACTGGTGTGTATTTTTCTGCAGCTTCTTTCATACTGAGTTGGTGGGTTGTTTTTTTTTTGCAATAATGCTTTGGGCAAAAACCATGAACTAATTTCAGTGCCTGGGCAACAAAAAGGCACAGCTAGTTGTGGAGCTCTGAAGTGGGACTTGGAACCACTCACATGCGAAAGCCAAGAGAGCCCGGGGCACGGGGAAGATAAAAGCTTTTGTCTCCACGCTGCTGACACATGACTGCAGCTGCCTGACCATCATCTTTGCTCTGATTTGGACCAGCCCACAGGACACTGAATTCAGGAGGAGCTGCTGTCATAGCAAAACCCACTGCTCCCCCAGCACAGGCCTGCAGCACTGATGCTCCGTGCACCATCAGTCACAATGGATACTAATCTCACACCCACCAAAAAAAAGAACAGCAGCACTAAGAATGCTACAGAATCCAGAAGACTGAGAGATGAAGCAGCTCAGTGAGATGAGAGCACAGGGAAACAAAAGGTAGGAAGTCACCTAAAAATAGAGTGAGATAAAACAGATACCTTTGTGTTTCTTCTACCTACATAAGTGCTTCTGTTAGCGCGCTCACAGGGCTCACACTGCACCAGGAATTCCATTCCTGTCCCCAGGTGACCCCAGTACTGTGAGGAGGCCAGAAATACAGGACAAGGAGATTGAGCAAAAACTTTAGTTTTGAGATGCTGGCTACTAAATCTATGCTAAGTCCACGTCAGCCTGGCACCCATCTTTGGCAGCGACACTGGGAAAGCACAAGTACTGAAAGCAGAGTGACACTGCCACTGAATGCATTAAGTGCTGATCACAGGGAAACCTGCTGCTCCAGCTCCACACAGAAATCCAGACAGGAGCAGGAGAAAGGCAAGAAAAAGCACAGGTAGATGAAGACAGCCTGAACAAGCTAGGAATATTCTAACAGAACTGGGCTCCTGAGGCTGCAGGTGCCGTCAGAGGGATAAATGCCACGTTGACCCACCAGCTGCCCAGCTCTCAAAGGTAAACTCCAAGCAACAGAAGGCTCTAAATACAAGTGAGATACCCCGAGTTAATTGCTGTGGGAGCTCTCAGCAAGCTTCGTCTTCGACACACAGCTGAGTGTGTAAGACAGAGATCCTGCAAAAGGTGTTGAAAGACCAAATTTCATTTCTCCAGCCATTTTCCCCTTCAGCTTCTTAGAGACAGGAAGAAAGGCATTAGGAAGCAGAATTCTCAGGAGCGTGGGCACCGTGCTGGGAGCACCTGCCAGTGTTCTTTAAAACAATGATGACAACACCTGTGATTTAGGATTCCTTCAGACCAAAATAGATGCATGTGACCTGTTGGTTTCCTGTTTCAGGAAATAGGCAAGCCTTATTGCTCATTCAATAGTGATACAGCACCTGACTGGTGCTGGCCTTATGGTAATGCACAACATCCAGGTTCCTGCCACACTGAAGGGAGCATTCAAGGGAGATCAGTGCCTGCAGTCCTGCAGAACACCTATTTTATCAGGTCCGTGTCCCCAAGTCACTTCAGCATCAGTGAAAGGAAGTCAGTATTTCTACAAACAGCAAGTGTTTACAATGCAGTGGGATTTCAAACAGGTTCTGTGTGTTTGGGGGTTAGCATGTATATTTGAAGGCTGAAACCTGAAGGATTAGCTGTGCTCACTGGATTCCAGCTGGCACCAGCAGAACATGGCTTTTAACGACCATTTTCCTCTGTGAGGAATAAGAAAGCTGTTTGAATTGGATTATTAAAGTCAAGCCAACACAAGATAACACAGCACCTGCTACTCCACAAAAGCACAGCGACCCCAGTACAATTTTCAAAGCCTATCCTGTTAAGCCAAGCCTGTTCTTTTGTCTGATCGAGTGACTGTGATTCAAAGTGCTTCCAGGCTCTGGAAACAAGCTGTTTTTGCAAAGAGGAGCACCTGCACATCCAGCACTGGGATTAGCAATTAGAAGAGATGGGCCAGTCTGCTCTGAGGGGATTCCCACATTTCAGAGCAGGAAAAAGCTTAAGGATAAGCCAGCATTTGACCACAAGGGATCTGGACACTAAAAAACTCCTATAAACAGCCGTCACTGTCTTCAGTAAGAGGTTTATCCAGTTTTATCTCCAACTTAAGAGCAGAAGCTAAGATCATGGAGGTGCTAAGGCTCAGTGCTACAGCGTAAGATCTAAAATATGCCAAAACAAAAGCAAGCTCTTTACCTTCAGAATCAATAAGCAGAGCTGCACACCATAAGGCAAGAGTCTAAAGTGGTGATAATAATGTAGCACAGCAGAATTTGACAAAACACAGCATGGGAATGAAGGAAATTACTATTTATTCTTCAACATGAATACAGTATACGCTATTTTACAGCAAGTCACCACTGGCATGGTGAAATGGAAGAGAAATACTCACTTTAGTCGATGAAAGTTGGAAGGCATTGGAGAAAAACACCACAGTTAGGACTGTTAATGACTTACACGTTGTTGGTACAGGACTGAATTTGAAAACATGCTTTAACATTTACCGTAATAATGAAGGTGGTTAGTGCCACATCAAATAAAAATAGTTCTATACAATATGTTCAATTTGGTCATGTGCTATTTACAGATTTTACAAAAAACACACACGAGCTTGTTACTTCAAGTCAGGCTAACAACAGGCCAGCAGAGCAACTCCATGTCCACGACGTATCATTAGTGCCCTAAGTGTACTCAATCCCATTTCTAGCTATGCAGTGCAAGTTATTTTTCCAGGTCTTATTACAAATTTTGACCTTAAAAAATGGTGGGGGAGAAACAATCTGACACATAAGGTATTAAAAAAAAAAAAAAATCAACTGAAACCCTCTTTTGGAAATAAAACAGGTTGTGTGGGTTAAAAAGGCTTGGTTTAGATTGAAGTCGACCTCCCTATCCCTGCATCACGGGCAACGCTGGCAAAACAAGGTCTCTCACAATAAAAATACAATAGACACTTAAATAAATAATCTTTTTAAAAAAACAAAAACCTGTGTGTGTTGAGTATGGAAGAACCCCAGCAGGCTGCACCTGGAATGGCATTTTCTGCACGAGCAAGATCAGGCATACCTCATACAGAAACCGGTGTAAACAAGGACAGTCAAGAACCCAGAGCAAGGGAGCAGGAAGAGGGGAGACGAGAAGAAATGCTGACCAAGGCAGCAGCACTCTCTACCCAGTGCAGAAAGTTTGGCTTATGAATAAAATAAAATCTGACCGTATGACAAATTAAGTCTGGATGACCATGCAGAAGACAAACAGTTACATGCTTTTGTTTTCTTTTTAGTTTTGGACGACACACATTCATTCCCTAAAATCTGCTGCCAATTTAGTTTGATAGTGTCCGCTGGCTCAAAAGAAATTTGTTTCTTTTTTACATGGTGAATGAACTATTGAACAGAACGCTGTACATGCTTTTCATCTACAAAAAAATATTTGCATAAAATAGTGTTAGTTCTCTGTACATGTCAATGGACACTTTAACTGTGTATAAAAGAGGAATATATTGCCCCCACTGAAGAAAAAGCAAAAAAAAAAAAAAAAACAACAACCAAAACCTAGAATATGAAACCTCCATCACCGGCAAATATGTTCATGTGAAAATTCAGCAGAAATAGACAGTTGCTCTAAACAATAAAAAAAATTGATTAAGTTAAACTTTTTCTTTGAATGTAAAACTGTCACCATGTCAGTCAAGACCAGAACATATCACTAAAGTTAGTGTCTGTGCTGTAAAGCCAGATAACCAAGGGCAGGGTAATGAACACAAAGGGCCAGGAAACTCCTTCGGTGCATGCTGACAAAGAACAGGGTTTGGTGGCAGGCCGCACACTATCTTTACCAGGTTCCAGGTAGTTACGGGCCACATATTTAAGTGTTTCATCCAGCAGAATGACAGGTAGTGAAATTTTCAGTACCATCAGCCACTGCGTCACATTTAAAGGCGTGATCTGGAAGATAATCTGAAAGAACAGCCGAGCATTACAGCTTTGCTTCACCTCAGTCCCTGCCTTAAGCTCCACACAAGGATCTCTCTCCATCTCTGAGCTCAGGGATGGATGCAAACAGAAGCACTCACCGGCAGTGGTTCCACATAGAGGATGAGGAAGTGGAGTGACATGGACAAGCAGATGGCTCCCACCAGCCAGATATTCTCCCATGGGGGCATCCTCATTAGGGACTGATTTTCTGACAGACTGCAAAAGAAACACGGTTCACGTGTGTACATACAAGGCACCAAAGGAAATTCAGTCAATCAGTGACTGCTGTAAAGGAAGCAGCGTGGCAAGTCCAACTTATCCGAGTCACCACGGAAAGGAGGACACCAGATTTTGTTTAAGTAGGTTACAACTTTGATCCTGGAAATGCTGGGTACAACAGCACGACAGCCTTCCTGCCTATCCAGTTGTTCCCTCAAAGCTCAGTTAAAGACTGCACACACTGAGGGGCAGATCTTTGCACCTTTGTAATGCTTATTCTTAAAATCTGCTTTCAGATTCAGTCTGCATTTAGGCTATGCTGCAGAAGAGCCTGAGATCCAGAACATCCAATGTAGATCAGTGTCTTATTATGTAGGACTACTGCAGTACGCTTGTATTTCGTTTGTTTTTAAAATTAACTGACCTCTAAGCTATTTGAAGAAATATACCCTTGACACTGTGCTATTTAGTGGTTTCCATTTATAATCTAACATTAATTGGCTAAACCCACACTCCCTTAGGGCAGGAAAAGTTATTTTCCATATCTTCAATATTCTTATTTTAGTTCTCCTTGGTGTCACTTAATACCAACATAGGAGGGATAATCTGATTGATTAATCTTAAGATTAAAAATAATGGAAAATATTTCAGCTGCTCATGCTTACTAAAATGCCAGAATGAACTGGCAGGCTTAACAATATACCTTAAGATAAGAGGTCTCAAGTGTTATCTGGGAGAGTCATTTTGTTTGCACTACCAGGATTGGAAAGAAAACATGACTCAATATTTACCAGTTGAGCAGTCCAGAAACTAAGAGAGCTGGGCTACACAGAAGGTACAACTTCAGATAAGCTATGCAAAAGCTTTCCTTCTTGATTTGGAGATACAAACCTGTTGAGGGCATTGCACATCTCTATGGTGACAAGTACAGAAAGAGCCATTGTCATTGGATACGGAGACTCAAAAACCACACAGTCGACACCAGAGAAGTCTGGGTTGTCCTCTTTGCACTGCAGAAAGTGACTCTGAAACAGGACAATGGGAACTCATTTCTACTGCTTAACTTTCAGAATGTAAAACAGGCTCAGGAAGTCAGCAGTATTAAGAAAACTTTCTAACATGAATCCTGCAAGCGCTGAAGTACAGGAGCAGTGTCTCATATGACACTAAAAGCAAAAAAAAAAAAAAGCCCCAAAGCTGTTCAACAGCATTAGAAACGTTCCTGTTAGTCTCTACTCACAGGACATCACTTGGTCCTTGAGATGCTTCACAAGTTTAGGCACACCAACCTTCAGCTCGATATTAAGACTAACGCAACAACAAAGCCTGAACATGAATCAAGTTTGAAAAAAAAGCCATTACACAAAACCTCTTTACACAATACTGCGTTTCTCTACAGTCCTTTCAAGTAGAAATTATAAGTGTCCTTTCCCTCCCACCTCACCCCCTCCAAGAAGTGAAACAGAGTGCATACCAGCTGGTAAAAGGTAACTCTTGGACCACCATCAGCAGCAATAAACCACCAAGCAGCAGCACCCACTGTGGCAGCACCAACGTAACCTTAAGGACAACAAAGGGCTTTTTTCAGTGCTACGAATCCCATTAAAAGATCTCACTTGTCAAAAAATCAAAAGGTTCTGATGAAGCAGTAAGTGTCAGGCTTACGTCACACAACTATGGCTTTTTATGCCTCTGCTGTTACCAACAGAAAGAAAAAGCACTACTTTCACCATTCTATCACAGCACCACATGCAAATACACAAAAAAATGAACGTTTGCTTTGCAAACAAAACCAATTCCATGGAATATCTATTGCTAGCTTTGAAGACTTGAGCATAAAGGTGCTGCTTTCAAAGAGGATCACAAAAAAGAAGTCTACATGCTTTAGTTTCCTTCAAAAAAACCAAGCAGCTCTGACCACTTACATCCAATCGCCAGGTAACGGAAGAAGAGCCACCCACTGATCAGTGGCTCCTTGGGGTTGCGGGGTGGTTTGTTCATGATATCCAGATCAGGAGGATTGAAGCCCAGAGCAGTAGCAGGGAGCCCATCTGTCACAAGGTTCACCCATAACAGCTGGACAGGAATCAGAGCTTCAGGAAAACCCAGAGCAGCTGTCAAGAAGATGCTACAAGAAAACCAAGCAGTTATGTAAGCTTACAAGCCACTGCCTACAAAACAAGCTTCTGCAGAGATCATGTTATTACAGCTCAAATGACTAAGCTCGATTCAGCTGGATTTCCATCAGCATCTCCAGAAAAGTACTGGGCATTTAACTTCCACAGCTCCAAGAACACAAAGAGGGCCTGCAGCAAAAGCCACACAAAGGACAGCTCCAAAGCTTACAAGAAAAACAGGGCAAGTGAAACATTGTATTGTGTTTGGCTCTCGGAGAAGGTATGCTTTGATATAAGAAACTGTTAGGGGACCAATATCTGCATTCTGTTACCAGAAATGTATTCTGTGGCACTGAGGCAACACTCCTCCCCAACATAAGACACGTTCCTCTGAAACTTGAGGTTGAAGTTACAGAAAGATTTAAGTTACACACGTGGCAAAGTTACAGGAAATAACAAATCTTCTTTTGAGAAGTTATTACTTTCCAATTTTTAAAATTAAGTTTCACAAAGATGCACTTCAAACACAGAAATAACCGTACAGCACTTGGTCACCTACTGAGCTAGAACATTATATGCAACTCTATGCTTATGTTTTTTCAATATACTGAAATTCTCCAGAAAATATTAGGGACCTTAGAAGTATGCAGACTCCACTGTACAGTCACAGTGAGCCACTGCCTGGACAGCCTGTTTCTCTGGTTTTGGTGAGAAATACCAGAATGAGTAAGGAAAGACAAATCCATCATCACTATTCCAGTCCAAAGAAAACACGCTGAACTTACCAAACAACTTCTCCAACATTGGAAGAAATCAAGTAACGGATGAACTGCTTCATGTTGTTGTAAATTGCACGTCCTTCTTCCACAGCAGCTACAATAGTTGAAAAGTTATCATCTGCTAAAACCATTTCAGAAGCAGTTTTAGCCACTGCAGTACCAGAGCCCATAGCAATTCCAATTTCTGCTTTCTTCAACGCAGGGGCATCATTGACACCATCACCAGTCTAGAACAAGAAGTTCAGAGAAAATATTTACTTGCACACAGGACAGGAATTTGACATTGTGTATCCTGGATCTCTAAACATCACTTAAGGGCAGAACCATTCTGAGACAGAATTCAGGAAAAAGCAGAATCTCAGAAGGAGGCACGAGTTTGCCATGGTGAAATCTGGGTTTAAGAACAGCACTGCCTTTCAAACCACGTGAAAAGTGCCATTACTCACCATAGCTGTAATCTCGTCAAAAGACTGAAGGAACTCAACAATTTTTGACTTGTGAGAAGGCTCCACGCGGGCAAAGCAGCGCGCATGGTGGCAAGCATCTCTCTGGGCAGCGAGTGAGAGCTCGTCGAATTCACGGCCGGTGAAAGCTTTGGTAGAAACATCTTCATCTTCCACAAAGATGCCGATGCGTCGGCAAATGGCCACTGCTGTGCCTTTATTGTCCCCGGTTATCATAATCACTCTAATGCCAGCTTGCTTACACAGCTTTATAGAGGAAGCTACTTCAATTCTTGGGGGATCCAGCATTCCCACGCAGCCCACAAAGGTCAGATTGGTCTGAAACAACACACCACTGAGTTTCAGCACAAAATCCTGTAGACTTTTCATCTGACATTACCAAAATAATCACGTCTGTTCAGCATGGGAGTAACATCTCAGCACAGTGACCTCAGTGTTTGCTCCCAGTCCACCATACCCTGTGATTTTACACTGAACAATCACACACTGAAGCCTATATCATCCTGACATTTAGTAAAAGCCAGTGTATTACATGTGATGTAACCACCAAAGTCCTTCCAAGTCACTTCTGAGAGGTTCTGCTTCACCCTACTAAATTTTCACAGCACTTTAGCACTGACAATGAATCCAAACAGTGGGAGAAGAACTGAAAGGTCACATCGACAAGCAGATTAATAAGAGAAGGTAATGTAGCAGTTGATGTTTTTGGAATCACAATGCTGCATGAGGGGTCTAAAAAAAGACACAGTTAATTCCTGAAGTACAACCACACACTGCAATGACAATCTGTAGTTCCAAATCTTGCTTCAAATATGCTCTTTTAGTTATCTAGAGCACGATCTAATTGTCAATCATGCAGATTCCACTTGCAAACAGTCAAGTCTTTCTTGTTATCGGTTCAAGAGCACAGTGCCCAAGACAAAACTCATGCAACTGCTGTCATTCCCCTGCCACCCACCCACTCCAAGTCCCAGATGCAGGTTCCATTGGAAAATTACAGTAGCCAGGGTAATAACAGAGCTTTTGCAGCTGACAGTATGGAGGAGGGGAAGTAAACCTGATCCTCAGAGCACAAAATGGCAGTTCGGTTCCCCCACAAAATCCCCAAAGGGGCCTTTTGCAGTTGAGCAGTGTCAAACTCAGAAACTTTAAAGCTGAAACCACAACGTGGTTCTTAGAAGACTTTTCCAGACTCAGCCTCTGCAATTAGTTTACAGTGCTACAACCTTAAGAACTGTATGTGTACATGCAAAACAGCACAACTTGCAGGTGGCAGCATAGCTGGTTTCTTACATTTGTAGCTTGGCAGCAGCACATACAACCAGCAACCAAGAACCAAGTGTTTTTTCATTTAAACCTCAAATAAGCTAGGGGAACAAATTAGGAGGTGGAGGCAATTATCATAAACCATGGAATATTTCTGAATTTTATCCTCTGAATTTCTTCAGAGCCACATATAGTCTTCTCTCAAACTGACAATTTCCTCCACAGATGTGGCTAACCATTGTCTGGCATCAAAAACATCTCGTAAGACAAAAATCTCAGCCATAACTTCCTCAAGAAACAATAAAACAAAGAGTCACCATTCCCCACTTTAGGAGAGGGAGAAGTGTTATAAACAGTCCTTTACTGAAACTTACCTCATAGTTAATGAAGTTTGAGGAGTCCTCAAGATTCATTTCTTCTTTCCTAGGAGGATTGTCATGGGTTGCCAGAGCCAAACAACGCAGTGTGTCTCTACCAGTTCCCCACTCTCTAATAACAGACATTATTTTCTGCTTGATCCCTGAGGATAATGGTATCTTAGCATTTCCAACACGGACGTGTGTACATCTATCGATTACACCTTCAGGAGCACCCTTGCAGAGGCAAAACAAGGAAAGAAAGCCTTAGTTTAATAAATCCACCACAACATTTGCTCAAATTACTGAAGTTTCTCCATTTTCAAGCTGAAATGTTTTCTGTCACAACGTTTAGTGTTATGTCACCTTTGCAGCCACCCTCCAGCTGCACTTGTCCAGCACAAACCCACCTTAACAAACATCTTGCTCATGGACGTGCGGCTCGGTTTGTTGGGTGTGCAATAGACAGACATCGATTTTCTGTCTCTTGAGAATTCCAGAGTGAATTCCTTCTTCATAAGTTGTTTTATCACCTTGTAAAAAGAGCAGCATAGCAATACATTTAGGCAATACATATTACAAAACTCACTCCCTGGTGAATTCCAGATATGGGTACTGACCGAGTTGCAAGCATTTGCACGTTCAATTCGAGAAAGTCCTTTCAGGTCTGTGTCAAATACATTCATCTTTTCAACCAGACAGGTAAGTGCTGTTTCTGTGGCTTCCCCAACTTTTTCATATACTCCCTTAGCCTTTAGATAACACAGAGCAAACAAAAACACAAGAGATTTTAAGCCTCAATCAGAATCTACCAGAGACAAAATTTAAGTTTCACAGCTGGGAAAAAAACCAACCTTACTATAGCTTACAAAACAAACAGAACTATGTTTAAAAAGCAACCCTGAAGTGTAATTTGTAGAATATTTCCAGATTTTCCTCTTAATACGAGCTGAGAAGGATGTTAGTATTTTATTAAGCGTTTAAGTCATTACATAGCAACCTTGAGGAGGTGAGGTAAAGCAACGAAGTGGCAGAGCACCATACATAACAAGGGAGCTCCAAGTTCCAGATTATGCTTACTGCCTGGCTTAAGCTTTCCCAGTGTTCAACGAACAAGCCATTCCCTGAATTAATACTTAAGAGGGCCTAAATACCATTCCTTGAATAGAAGGGGATTTACCACTGAAAGGCATTACACAGACAGATGAGAACAAACACCTATCCTCATTCTCACTCTCCCCTGTCCCAGGATATGTACTTACCTCATTGTAATCCAAGGAGGAATCATTACAGAGCGCACAGATCGTTGCCAGTTCCACAAGGCCATCATATTGACTGCATTTAATAAGTTTGTCATCTTTATGCCTTTCCAAAGGAAAAAAAAAGTAGGAAATTGTGTTTGTTATTTAGCAGCAGCATTTCATTCTTTTTCCCCCTCTTTAAGCCCTCACTGTATTGTCATTTAGTACTATGCTTAGTAACTAAGGACTCGGAACTATAGAGCTGACCAGGGAATCCAAATACCCTTCAGGAGAACATGGTATCAATAGAAATACCATAGAAAAGCACATTTGATCTGCAAAATCTGAATTTTAGACCAGACATCACAGAACATGATTACTGATGGAATTACTACCTGAACTGCAAAACCTAACTTCCGCTGGGGGCCGTCATTCAGCAACGAGACACACAAAAAGCTTGGTGATAGCAGAATATGGAATCAGTATTTGAGCACACATGACTTGGAGGGGAGTTCCAAGGAGAAGGATGTAGCTGGATACATTAGGACCTTACTTTCCTTAGCATTACTGCAGATTCTGCATATTTACTGCTATGCACCAACTGGGCAAGCATTGAAGTACATTCATACTTTGTCATTTCTTAAAAATTAATCTGTGCTCATTGAATCTTCTAAACCAATGAAAAGCTAAGTCATTTCACAATACAAATCCCACCAGAAAGTTCTGCTGAACATCCCAAACTAATACACCACTTAGGGATCACAAATTAAAAAAAAGCAACTTCTCTGCTTTCACATTTAGAAAGAGATGGATAATAAATGAATTTGTTTCCTCAAACAACAGCACACTTATGGTTCTTTTATGCTTACTCTACAAAAGAATCCAGTGCTGTTATTTTTTCTACTAACAAAACCAGCAAGCCACAGCTCTCATGCAACACCTCTCATTGAAACCCTCAAGGAGAAGAAAAGTGTCTGATAATAGAAAAAAGTGGATGACTACCCCCTAAGAGAGCTTAACATTGCCTATGACATCTGATTATGTAAGCTTTTGTTCAGCCTCTTGTAGTACTGCAAATGAATTTCAGCATTGCATAATACAGCCTACAAACAAAATGCATTTTCAAAACCATTTTGGCCTTTAAAGTCCCATTTTGCATCCAATCCTACAGCCACAAGGAGAATTCAGTACCTTCAAGCTCTTAACTCTTTTACTTGGTTTGAGAACCCAGCTACTCACTATCCCATGCCAAAAAACAACTCATGGTGGTGAATTTCCCTTTCACAGGGTGTTCTTTAAGTACACGAATGCAATGCTCTTAACGTCCTTGTCCACAGCCCCAGTCCCAGCAATTGAAAACAGAACATTAACATACACCAATGTCTTCTTGTAATCAGCATCTGCCACCTCAATGAATTGTATTATTTTACTTACCCACAGTTTTTGAGAGACCAGTTAAAGCACAACAGCTAGATGTCTTACAAGATCTAGAATGTCACCTTGTCTAATTCTGTCTACTGAAATGACAGCATAAGCTTTTGACAGCAATTAGCTTTGAAACAAAAAAAGATTTGGGGAATTAAGATTTCCAGCTGCTGAGAACATTACGGTCTTAACTGCTATGAAAATTAAAGAGAGATAATTGCTACTGAGATTGGTGAAGACTGCACCAAGTCAGAGGCCTGCATCTGAAATTCCACAAGCTTGAGATGCTTAAAAATAACTGAATCCAATTCCACTTCACACATAGTAGAATTCTGTTAAACTGAGGTGATAAAATTAAAAACATTACAGACTGGCCAAACAAAAGGAGCAGTAAGAACCAATGGAGAGGCCTGCCTTCCAAAAGCAGAACCCTAAGGACCCTCAAAGTTGTCTCAGTCTATCCCTAACTCCTTCTTAGAAATGGAAAGCTGCAATATTGGAGTATATAAAAGTTTCATGAAGGTTCACTTTCCTAGAATTTAGCTGCATCTTACTGCTAATTATGTTTCCCCAACCCTTCAGCAGGCATTCTCACTGCTTGAGCTTCCATGTATTAACAAATATACTATGCCTCAACTTTCCAAGTCTAAAGCAATAGCCAATGAATAAACAGACAAATATTTAACTTCAGCAACACTTACACTTCTCCCATAGGAGCGTATGTCGAACCAGTTACAGTAAATTCATTCAGAGAACAGCTATCTCCTTCCACTTTGTCCAGGATAAACATCTGCAATTAGAGTAAGAGGCATTATTGCCTTTCAGCAGTCATTAATACACAAGATTTAAAAAGGCCTGAAGCAAGCAGGTACAAGAAACAACTCTGTGTTCAATATGCAAACTAGACAAAACCAGACTTAGATCCTACGCATATGTGAACATCCCTATCCCTAATGCACAGAGATCAGCACTTCTGCCTAACGGATCGCATTTGAGAAGTGAATGGAGGCACAAGGAGACCAAAAAGTTGAAAACCAGATGCTGTGTACACTCAGTATCGACTGATAATTAAGCTCATCATCCTGGCCATGCCTCCTAGGCCTCAAACTTGCGAGTTAATTCTTACACATACGTTTAAAAGAGTTCCAGTCAAAAGCAGCGCAGGACAGCTTGGAAATTCTTGCCACAGCAAAAACACAAAGCATCTACAGATAGCAGAAGCTTTCAGAGGTAGAAGCCAAGAGCTGAAATACAGTGAGTTTCCCTTAATACCACTGAAAGCATTTTCCATCCTGGTTCTTGCTAAGTCCTTTAATACCCAGTGCACTGATAGAAGTGAAACATTCAGACAGCTCGAGTGCCCAGGAGCACAGGAAGAAGTTATCTTCAAATGAATACTACTGATTGAAAGGATGCATCCGTACTCTGAGCTGCAGGCAGACTCAAACCTGGGCAAGCGAAGATAAAAACATGCTGGTACTCTACCAGGTCTAGCTGGAGTGGCAGCAGAGATAAAATACACCTCCATACAGTTTCTTACTGGCTTTTTGGTATGAGCCATTTTGCCAAACCATACTTGAGCACCATCTCGCTTTGCCCTCGTTACCTTGCCTTATTTTTTAGGGATGCATTTTTGCAAAACACAGCTTAACATTTAGCTGATGCACACGTGGTCTTCATCAATGTCTGGAGTCCTCACACTCTTTCAAGTCATTTTAAAAACCAAAAACCCAATAAGCTGATGATTTAAGAGGCCACAAGGCAGAATAACTGCATTCCTGCCTGACAGGACAGGTCAGGACATGAAAACAAGACCTCAAATCTTCTCCTTTCCCTTCTGACTGAAGTATTTAGGATATTATTTAATATCACGAAAAACAAAACTGCAAAGTGAGTTACTACTGTCAAAATTCTTCTTCACAACTTAGACAAGCCAACTGCTTCAAGAGAAACCATGAATCCACGTACTGTCTACAGGTTACTGGGATTTGGCCATGTTTTGCAAAACTTCACAATTAAGTTCAACTTGAGACAGCTACAGAATAACGAGGATCCAACAAGTAGCAAGGCACAAGAACTGGAGTATTCAGCCCCCCGAATGTAAGGAGCATTTGCAGCTTTTAAGTAAACACATCTGAAGGATCGTAACTGATGAGTTTACCATGAAGCCTTCTGCTTTTGGCATCTTCCTTTTTGGCAGCATTCATTTGGTGATAAAAAAACCTCCGCAAAGACTAGGGCAGTTATGCAACTCTACTGCAAGTAACCTCCTCTGGAATACTGATGAGCAGCTGCTTTGTGTTTCCTAGGTATAAATACTAAAATACTTAAGCAAGTAGAACAAGTCAACTGCCAGTTAAAAAGAAGAAGCCAACAATCACATGAGAATAAATTCAGACTTGCCAAAGACACCAGTCTGTAACGCTCAATGTTTATGCATTTGGAATTCTAACCCCATGTAATAACCCTGACCAAACATTTGATACCAGTTGCTATGTTGCTGAACATCCACAATTATTAAAAGAACAGTGTTTCCTCCATAAAATTCCTGTGAAGAGTATCAAGTATGTGGGATACACAGAAAATGGGAACAGAACATGCATGTCATGAAGTGAGTAGCTACAAAAGCTACAAAAACCCTGAACTAATCGGCACAAGAAGGAATACTTGGGAGAAAGGGAAGTGGGCACACCAGCATTATGCTAACATAAAAACATGCCATACACTGAATATGACCATGGCAATGCAGATGATGGCATCACTTGCAGTGCCAAGATTAACCAGACAACACTGCATGTTGAGAAACAAAGCACATCAGAGCAATAGTGGCTAGAGAAGGTAACCAAAGGAAGGTGGGAACGTTCAGTAGTGAAAATACCTCAGACTATCCAAGTTACTGCCAGCAAGGCTTTCGCTTTTTCTTGACATCTTCGTACATAGATAAATGTTATTTATGCTTACAACATACCCCACCCCATCTTTCTGAAACAGGACAAACTAGAGTAAATCATCACCAGGAGACTGAACTGCTTACAGCCAGCCAATGGAAAGCTGCTTGTAAACAACTGTCCCTTACACCAAATGGGGGTGCAGCTATTTTTGGCCATGACTAAGTAAGGGAAGGAAATAAAAGCCTTCAGTCCTCTACACTGGAAATCTGACATCAACGTAGAAGCTTATCTTAGGAAAATAAAAGCAGATTTTGATGATATGAGAACCAAAGACCTCACCATCAGAAGAATTCAAGTAATGCTGACTATTCAGAGTAGCTGAAGAGAAAAAATGAGCGAGTCATTTCAACGTACCCTGCAGACTGACATCTGATTGGTGGTCAGAGTACCAGTCTTGTCAGAACAAATAACTGAGGTACAACCCAAGGTTTCCACGGAGGGAAGGCTTCTAACAATTGCATTCTTCTTGGCCATTCTGCGGGTTCCAAGAGCCAAGCAGGTGGTAATAACAGCAGGCAGGCCCTCAGGAATAGCAGCAACAGCAAGAGCAACAGCAATCTTAAAGTAATAGATAGCACCTCGAATCCAGGAGCCACCATGAACCGGATCATTGAAGTGACCGATGTTTATTATCCAAACAGCGATGCAGATCAGTGAGATGACTTTAGACAGCTGCTCTCCAAACTCATCCAGCTTTTGTTGGAGTGGGGTTCTCTCTTGTTCAGTAGCCACCATCTCATCACGAATCTTGCCAATCTCGGTGTTGACTCCTGTTGCAATTACCACTCCCATAGCTTTACCAGCAGCAATGTTGGTACCCTGACATAAACGAAAGAGAAGAAAAGCTTGCAGTCAAATGGCAAACAGCAATGTTTACAAGGGCAGACTAGAGAGGCTGTGTTTCAGTTCAGTTGTGAAAGAGGGGAGCAGGAAGAATGACATTCCCCCAGTATACACAAAAGAAAACTCCAGTGTAGGATTTCTATTTAAAAAAATTAGGGTCAATATGAACAAACATTGATCTATTATAAGTAGTGTAAACAAATCCATCTGCTGGTAAGTACTGGCATCTTAAGAGCTTTTGTTTGTTTTAATCTGGCAAAACACAATCCTAATAATGTTATTTACTGTAATACATGTGTTCTGTGGGACCCTGTGTGTGAACATTTAAGATGAGTAAGAACAGTTTGGCTTTCTGCAAGGAGTTCATCAACAATAAGAATTGTTATTTCAATATCTGAAAGGCATTCAACCACTTCCTCGGAACAAATTTCAATCAACAGTTTCTTTCCCTAATAAGCAAGCTAGTTCTCAACTTCAGCTACACAACAGCATAGTTTAGGTGAGCATTATTATCACTCTTAAGAACAGGTACTTTATAAAAGTAGTTTAGGAGCCCCTTAAAGTGTATGTCCTTCAGTATATTTCTAGTAAAGGACAAAAGTTACTTTCCTCATATAAACTGGCCTCAACAACCCTCCCTAAGGACAGCTTTTATTAGAAGCCACTTCTAATCTTTATTTCATTCAGTTTGATGCGCATGGAGACGTGCATACAGATGTGCACAGAGAACAGAGCAAGGAGTCCCACAGCCTTTAGGTGCACACTTTGAGTTCTCTTTGCTTTAGTTTACCACCTTCAGTATTACTTCTACTACGTTTTAAACTTGCACAGAAAACTTACAGAAAAAAGCATGTTCTTCTTGTCTTGGTTTACAGCACGAGGATCTGGGACAGGATCAGTGTGCTTAATAACAGACACAGATTCACCTAAAGGGAAGGCAACAGTCTTAAGAGATTACACATATACCATTTAAACTGTAAGGAATCAAAAGTCAATATAAACATTCTTACAATGTCCAACTGCTTTCTTCTAATGATATGGACTGCTTAAGTGAAACAGGAAATGATTAACAACTGTATTTTAATGAAAATTAGATAGGATGTAAGTAAACATTTTATATGTTTAGGCTCAACAAAGCACATATCGTATCCCTCACAAGGGACATAAGCAGCAGATGATTCACTCAGCACTTTAAAGCAGCAGGAACCACTGCATGAAGGATGACCTCTCATCCTTACTTCACAAACAAGTTTCTACTTCAGCGTTGTTCTGTGTGCTTCTCACACAGCCACAAGCTTTTCTGTTCTCTTTGTATTGAGTTATGTTCTCATTTAAATAATTACAATAGTAGTTATGTATTCATTGCCAGACTTTAAGATTTTTATTCTTATTTTTTCAACAACAGATGCATCTCAGTCACTTCCTTTAGATGCAAGTCTTCAGAAACCTCTTCCATTAACGCCTCCAGTGCATCATTTCTCATGCACATGGCATACAGTAAAAGAAAAAAAAAAAAGGTTTCTTTTCAGTAAAAGCAGATGCCAATTACTACCCATCAGATTTCAGAAGGGTGGAAACTCAGTGACTGATGCACTACTTTTTTGTAAGAAAATGCAGGCACTCCATACTTATGCTAAATATAAGCAAGCTTGATCACTGTTACACTAGTCAAGATCCATAGTAAGAAAATGTGCAGCCTGTTTCAAGACAGATCAAGAATATTGTTTTGTGATGAATAATGTACTGCTTGAAAATTCACGGCTAGTTGACATTTACTATTTATGTTACCAAAACTGGCAGACAGATCTTCATGTTCCAGCTGAGAGAAGGCTGCACTAGCATGCCTGGCTGATTGATTCCTAGCTTCTTTCCTATATTCAGTAGTACTGCTACTTTGTTTTGTTTTCAAGTAATCTGAAAAGTGCTCTAAATATAGCTCCTGCATTTCAGCCTGCATCAGAAAACACATGAACATGCGTGCACAGCATTTCATCAAATAAGGCTTTAGAAACAGTAGTTTAAAAACTGCCTGTATTTTAAATGTTACACTCTCTTGTGCAAGAAAACACGTGTTAGAGAAGACATTTAGTAAGAGCAGCAAGGCATTCAATGTAGAACACAAACTTGAATAGAAATTATTCCCTCCCCACCCCCCAGGTTTCCATTATCTCTTGACTAAAGAAAGCACTACAAGTCTCAGGAAGAATATTCATCTCAGTAAGGTGAACACGAATGACAAAGTCAACATATTCAACCACTAAGATTTAACTAACTACGTTAGAAATTCGCTGCACTTAAATATAGTACTGGTATAGCTACAGACTGGTCTGTCACATATTCTGAAGCAGTTAAAAGGCACTTCCAATGTATGCATAATAATCCAAAAGTCACAACTCATACCTGTGAGAATGGACTGATCTACCCTTAGAGTTGTAGATTTGATAGAAGTGATTCTTATATCAGCAGGAACCTTGTCTCCAACTGCAAAGAAATGAGTAAGGCAAAGTTCCAATTCAGTTATTTGAGAGATTTCTAACCAAATGTAGATTAGCTCTATCAGCCAGGAAGGTGATTTTGCAGTAACTGCTCCAATGACCACGGTTACTACCAGCTGCTTATTGCTTCTGTGGCTTGTAATACCCTACTTTTACGAGTTGCCAATATACTTTGGCAAATTAAATTTGTCTTCAAAATCTCTACCTCTACTTAATTTCAACAAAGCATTCCATAAATCACTACTGGTTCTCTCATCACATGACCATAACATGACAGCAGAGGGAGAACATCCTTGCAAGACATCAATTTCAGAATACAATTAAATAATAACCAGATTTAATGCTAAGGTAAGAATCAAGTCCCCTTCTCAGGAAGGCTGACCTAACAAGTTGTTTTCTTTACACAAAGTCAGTTTTCTATTCTCCACAGATCAGAACACGACCCATGTTTGTTTATTTGGACACTGTTTCTGCAGATCTGCTTCTTCTGTGTTATACTTCAAATACTGCCAGACTTGTTCGAGTTAGAAGCTAAATTCAGATCACACACCAACCTTAAGTAGTACAGCTGTATTAAATACACCCCAGACCAAAGCCCTGCAAAATTTGGCAGAACTCTGTGCTGTGTTTATTCGTTAGATGTTTCTGTTTTGTGGAGCACAACAGCCTACAATTAAACAAAGGGCACAAAAGACCCCTCCTGCAGCTCCTGCAGCACTTGAGACAGCAAGGCAGCACGTGGTGCAGGAGGTAACAGCACACTCCTCCAGAGGCAGAGTTCTGCTCCCACATCTTCAGCATCCCAGAACTGATTCTTCCACCGTTCTACCTTCTCTCATCCTGTTTTTCCTGGTTTTTAAGAGAAGTGGAAGAACTAAAGCGGTGCTATTTAGTTCTAATAGATACACAGTCAAACATACCCCTAACATAATTTACCAGCACAATTAAAGTGTTAAATTATTTTTATTATTATTATTATAAAACAATGCACAATGACAGGGGGGAGAACACTTCACACTAGCTAATGAGAGACGATTTTCTCAGTAAATAGACTCTGCGTCCCTGCAGTAAAATTAAACCAAGCTGCAATTCCTGCAGGAACTGCTTATGCAACTGACAGCAATAATGAACATTAACAAATAATGCCATGAGAAGGCAGCAGTGGTGTTACAGCCTTGCAGCATACACTTGCTCAGACAGGAAAGCTAAGGAACAAAATGCTGAAGAGGATTAAGTGCTGCTTTGAACATTAAGTAAACTTGCAGCACGTGACTTTTCCTAAGGTCAAAAAAGCCCCCAAATCAGTAAAAGCAGCAAAGATGGAATAGCTCTGCTTGAGGAGCGAGACATGTCCTTGGGTGAGCATGTGTATATGAAGGGATCCCATAAATAGACACAAATTGTCTTTTTGTATCATTATAGCATGTGAAAACTAATTTAAGCCACCATGCCCTTGAGCAGCAAGAGAAAATAGCATTAGACAAACAGTGACCTCAGCCAAAAATGGCCAAAGCATTCAATAGACTCTCCTGATGTCATGAGGAGGTTTATATGCAGACATGTAATGGCAGCTGCCTTTCAGCTATCACTGAACAACAGGCTGAGACCTCAGTGCAATGGGATGCAATGCCCATCAGCCCGGGTACACATTTTTTTGCACTCCTACCAATATTCAAGCAGTGATATTTCAATGAAAGCTACTCCTCAGCATCATCGGCCGCCTCGATCATCAGCACTGTTTACCTCAGCAGCTTAAGAGCAGACATTCCCCTACCATCTCCATTTAGAAGGTGGTAGTAAAACATTCCAGGTATTTCCAATAGGCAGGAAAGCTTTACATCAGGATCAATGATGGAACTATTCTGAGAAGCTCTCTGCAAAATATTAGCTACCGCTCTGAGCCACGTACCAACTTGAACACTCTGTTATGAGCATAAGAGAAACTATACAGAAAATTATCCTGCAGTAGATAGGAACCCACAGGAAGTTTTTTGTGAGCAGTTTGTTGCAGATTGCATCTATAAGCAGGCGGCTGTTTTCCACATACTTGAACACAGAAATTCATCTCCTGTTGTTTTCATGCTGTTTGTTTTGTTGCTCAGTTATATTTTAGAGCACAGGGTCAGAGGTATTACCCAAAGCTGTAATTTGAAAGACAACAAGAAATCGGGAGAAATGTATTTGTGTTGTTTAATGAAGAGCTACCACAGTCTGGGTATAACAAAACTACCAGCTCACAGCATTAAGTCTAAAAGCTCAAGCCAGTTGCAGAAGGAATTTCATCAATTGTTTAAAAAAAAAATGAATCCAAAACAGTCCCTTGATTTCTACAGCAGCTCCAGAGAATCAAGCAAGCTGCTTCCAAAATCATCCGGATGCATATTGTTGAAGCATGGTTTAGCCAAATACTTAGCAACTGAGAACACAGCCCCTACAGCTATAAAAAGCACTGCTGCTGGAAGAGTCGGAGCAGGGTTTGTTTCAAATCACTGGTTTTATTCACAGAATCCTTTTTGTTCCTGCACAGAATACTGCTCCAGCATTAATATTGAGCTTCTGCTTACAAAGAAATGCAAGAGGAGAAGTGTGTTAAAAAAAAAAAACCCACTTAACTGTGCAAGTCTATGTTGAAGCACACAATTTACAGTTTCTACCCTTGACAGAAACTGAAGTCACGTTTAGTTGTGATATAAACAAAGTTATGTCAATTATTTGAAACAATTGACACAACTTCACTCAAAACATGGCCAGTTTAACATCTGAAATCACTGAGTTCTGCTAGGTGCTTACAAGGAGATGAAACATTTCCTCACCAAGATCCCAACTGATTACACCTTATGCCTTGGCCTTTCCTCCCGAGTTCAAAGCTCCCCACCTCTTATCTCACTCCTCCCAGTGCTGTGGCAGCACTACGGGTCAACTTCCACTCCACACATACAATCATTTACACAGACACTCAACTCGAAGCCTGCTGTAACTCCACCTGGCAGTTGGGCATACTTCAAGTAAAGCAGGTGTCCAATTGCAGGAATGACTGCAGCTCTCTGAAAAAAGGGCCTCAAAAGGCAGCTCAGCGCCCAGGCTGCCCAGCATGACTTGTGAAGCTGGAGGGAAAGAACTAAAGCTATTTGCATTTCAGACCCTGCTACATTATCAGAAGTCCAGCCAGAAGATCATGCATCTCCCAAGTCTCAAGGGCTCTTCTACATGTCCTGAATCGTGGGCGACTGGAAGCTCAGAAAGCAGGATCAGCCATATTCCAGAACAAACACATAACCCCAAAGGCAGATCCTAACGTCTTCAGAACACAACTGCCACTTGAGGTGAGTACTTCAAACTGCTATCAGCTCTGCTGACTGCCTCTGATCCCTCCAACACTGAACACCAGGAAGCAGTTTACTGATTTAGACTTATTAAAAAAGTGTTGCTACCTCTTGGTTAATGCAAATTTTACAATACGTTCTTGAAAGTGACTCAAAACATCCTGATCACTTCCCACAGCACACCAGACGGAGAGAAAGAAGTACAGAACTGTCACCCTCACCCTCCCCTTTACTTCTAAAATGCATTCTTCAATACGTTCCCTCTGTATCCATTTTTCCTCTTACTTTGATAGCATTCCTGTCCAGCCTTATGAAAGTACAAAGTACTTAATGCTTCCTACACAGAGCGTAATAAAAACACTATGAAAATTCAGGAGCTCTTCAAAACAGGAAGATTAAGTCCATCCAGTCTTTCACACAAGGTCAAGTGTGAAGTTATCAAAATGAGGAATGCCTATGAAATCCACTAAGTGCAACTTGCTCAAGAACTGTAAGATGGATTGCTTCACAACAAGATGAAGACTAAAACAGCAGTGGTCTCTTCAGTCTTAACCATACTTGCAAAATGGAGTTTGCTTTAATTGCCAAGACAGAAGAACATATTTTCTAAATATATTCATTCACAGAATCACCAAGGTTGGGAAATTCCTACCAGATCATCCAGTCCAACTGTCCACCTATCAATTCTTGGCATTGATGATGCAAGCTACAGGTTAGGTCATGCTCACAGAGTAGCCTTCTCTTCCACATGGTCTTCAGAACTTACTAAACAGTGCATGAAGAAGTGTACTCATCCAAATCTCAGAACTGCCAAAGGTAGACATTAAAACAATAGTAATTAATGCGTAAAGATATCCATATTGCATTGTTGTCAGTGATGACCAGAAAGACTAGAGTAAAAAACTGAAGAATCAGCTTTCTGGATCTAGTATGCATTGAGGTCCAAACAGATGCTTTGACTTACAAACAATGCATACTGCATTAAGCACTATGTAAAATAAATTATTCCTATCTTAATTCTTACTGGTTAGGAATAACACTTCTACATGTCATTCTCTCTGAAGAGGGCACCAGAACGTAAAGAGCTGTGCCAGTGGCCAGATACCTCACCTCCAAAGCTGCACTCATTTCTAACCTGACTTTGCCTCACTTCAGCTTTCAGTCAGTGTGTTCATTTATAACACCAACACCACCTTCTGGTTTTGAAGCTCTTGTGATCAGCCTATAAAAGCACCTACTAGGAAAAAGAAGAAACTAAGCTTTAACTTCTGCTAGATGAGATAAAGGAGTAGGTGACATCCACCCATTGAAGCAGAAGTCCCATTTCCTAACCAGATTCCATCTGGGTAATACAGGAATCAGCGTTCTGAAAATGCAGCACAGCACCAAAGCACAAGTTCTCCTTTGCCTTAAAACATTTCCCTTGTCAAAGTGATTACAGTATTATCCTGATGTTCAAGCATTTTTCAGTACTACTTATGATTATAATAAGCCCCCTTGCAGTATCAGTTCTATTCAGAGTATAAAATACCAGATACACCATTGAATCGCCACAATTAAAACAGAATTCATTTCACTATTTTTATGTAACAGTTCAGCAATTCCAGAGGAAAAAGCTGTGAGAATCAGCAAAAAACAAATGGAGCTAAGTTTAAGGTCTCAAATGTGTGCTGCAGGTGACCTGGGTTTAGGCTGTGTCCTGACTTGAACCTCACGCACAGCCACAACGTGGGCATGATGTCAGCAGAGAACGGAATGAAGCCTGGGCTGCATTTGGTTATCTCAAAACTGCCTCCCATGTGCTAGGAGAGGCTGACAGCCAAAGCATCCACTGAAGCCCACAGATCTATACACGTATACATTTACTAACCACTGATATTACTCCCCTGTTTTCCCTGGTCCAAAAGCAGTACTTTATGGAAGAAGCAAAACACGTGCTTCATTTTTACAAGCAGACCTGACAACTCACTCTAAGAAAGAACAACATGCAGCTGCTTTAAGCAGAGTGCTTTTGGGATAAGCCAACATTTTGGATTTAAGTCCCACTCCATCACATCACTCTGTGTTTTCTGCTCCCTAAGCTAAACACTTTTTCTCATGGAAAAGTAACACAGAGAAAGATCTAAGAAGAAATATCTGCAACACTGATGTTTGCTGAATAAGGCCTGTAGGTCTTTTATAATCACTTTGGAGTTTGACATGATTTGGCTCAAGAACGTTCCCTCCCAGCTTTCCTGACACCAAAATCTCTCCTTCCTTAATTACGAGGTATCCATGCTTTAGAAAGTATTGGAGAGTTCTACAGCTAAAATTAAAAGCCTTGCCAAGCACACTTGCACACTCCATGCCGGGCATAAACTTAAAATTAAATATTTAAGCATATCCATCAATTAAATAAGCATGAAATTCTGGGAACTCTGGGTCAGTTCTTACGCTGTTGAGTATTTCCAGACTGAACAATAAATCACAGGAACCAACGCTCAGAATCTCAGGGAAATAAACTGCTGTGACCCCAGCTTGGTCACTTACAGATTACATCTAGTGAACATTTGTATATTAAAATACAGCAATTTAGATCCACTACCTAAAACAGAATGTTTCAGACAGGGGAACGTAACAGAAGCATAGAAAGTTAATTTCCATTCCCAAATGTACTTTTCTAAAATTAAGTAGTTTGCAAACTGTTTATCCCAACCTGTCAGACTGGGCTTCAGATAGAACTTCTAAGAACTACGGCCATGCTGTTTTGTTTCTCTTTAAAATATTACTTTAACCATAGCAAACAAATTCAATTAAAACATCAAAGGACCTCTTTAATCTATTAAGACAGCCACCAGCTACCAATTTAGAGTGCATCCTTCAATAAACTTAAGGCTTCAGAGCAGGGTGGTTAATCCATTTAAGATGGGCAAACCGAAAAGCCATTTGAGGACAGCATCTGGATTTTTTTCAGTTCATCAATTCTAAGAAACAAACAATGTAGCCTGGTAACCTTTACACACCACAGCTCTCAGAACTATGCCCCCCAGAGCACTGCAAGCCAATTTAAGGCAAACCCCTGAGCTCCAACTCCATCCCAAAGATTTCCTGCTGACTGTACAGCATCTTTTCACCAACTCTGCTTAGGTGGACATGGAATAAAGTTCTCTTAACATACACAGCTAAGTTATTCATGTCTGCACAGTCTCCAAGCACTCACGCACAGGCAACTGACTGTTGGTACACCTGCAAATTTTTACTGTGCTATTTACAATGAACATTGGCCACTGAGCATAACAACCAGTAATTGCTCATCAAGTTCTCCACAGTATCTATGTGCACACCAACTCCCAAGAGAAGTACAATACACCACCACTCAAGTGATAGATGGCCTCATCCATTTCAAGGTACTCCACATTCACTGCAAGGTGACAGTGCAGATCTGCAGTTAAACTAGCTGGCAGAGCAATTAAGGCATCTTCTCATCACTTTACTTCTGAAGGCCACAAAGCAGACTGAGCAGTCTAGGTAATGAATGCAGTCTAGCTCCACAAATAGGAGCCTTAACGAGTCCAAATGAAAAGTAATGGTACAAACCATTACCATGTTGTCTTTTTGTTATGTTAAGCTGCACACATCATCTTTAAAGGTTTCAAAACTACCAGAAAGATCAAATGACTTTTTAAACAGTTCAATGCTATTTACTCTCAGAGAATTCCTGTAGCATAAAGAAGCAAAATAAATGTGTATTTTTTGCACAAATTACAATACCAATTTACCAATTCCTACATGAAAGTCATCTCACCACTGGAACCCAATGTAACAACTTCAAATTATCAAAGATGTTATAACATTAACTGACAGCTACTCTGTAATGGAAGACCTATAGAAAGGTCTTTCAAAATTAGATATCAGCACAGGAGAGAAACCCATCACCTGGTTATTTACGCCACTCAGTTGAGAGAGATTTGCCTGGACACACAAATGTCATTGGCACACTGCCTAGAATTCCATACCCAGATATGTATCCTCATATGAAGAGCTCCGGCACTTCCCTACATGGCCATCTTTGTGCAAACACCATGTCAAAGGCCATCGCAACAGTCCTGTGCTGGAGACACAGGCATGCACACACTCTCTCTCACCTCCAGGTCTTGACACCAACACTGGTACAGCCTATTCCTCTTCTCTACTTGCCTAGGAGCCCTTCTGAGTTTGATGCGATTACGATGTCATCGTTCTCTAACGACACGTTACAATTTGTTCCAATAGCAGCAGCCATATTACACCAAAGCATTTATTTCCCCATCTCAAACATCTATGTGACACACTTATTATACACGTGTAGTCACCTTCCCTTCAAGATGAAACCAATTACATTTGCCAATGCAAGCAAAGTATTCTGAGTACTTAAGAGTAGCCGGGAACTATCTGGCCCACCAGTTTAAGCAAATATTTTAACTAGCATGAGCTTCTACAGTCAGTCGACAGGCTAGACCGCTTATGTTAAAATTCAGTCATACAAGCTGGTAATTTGTGCTTTTCTAACGAGCATACCGGTTTGTCTGCTGGTTTTTTTTGTTTTCAAATCAGTTCCACATGCATCCCACTATCAAGCACTGCTTTACAGGCATCTTAATCACGTTTAGCGTTACTGTACTGTCAGTAATTGAGATGAAACTCCATAGTAAGTGACAAGGTATCATAATTCACTCTTTATTTCAGTTATCAGCACTTTGTAGTTGCACTTGCTCGTCAACCAACAGATACCAAGAGAAAACTAACTTCAGCCTTCATCAGATTCACACTTACTCAATAAACCCAGTCAGGGCTGCTGTAGCTGTACCAACCTCTGCTCAAAACTAAACCTTAGGGCTCAACAAATTGTTAAAGTATCTCAAGGAACAAAAGCTGGGCAAAGAGCCAATGCCAACTTCATTTTGAGTGCATTCTCTCTCTCTGCCTACCAATTAAAACAGCAGGATGACCAAGGGTTTATATTTACTTCTGCTTTAGAGATCTACCACCTCTAAAAGTAGAGGGACACTAGCAGAAGCAAAGTTTGATGTACACCCTGCACTGCTCCCAAAAGAACAACCATGAAGTTAATAGCTGATAACGACCTACAAGATGTGAGTATGCAATTACCCCTGACATTTAGCAAGAACCACCTACTTTCATCTGGGGAGAAACCTGAAACATTAAAGTCACTGACCAGACCAGTTTAAAAAAAAGGGACTGCTGTGCCACTATCACCAAATGAAAGAATTTCATATTCTACTTCCTATTTATGTTCTCACATTTCTTCAAAGATATACCTTCTAGGACTAATTTAGTATCTAAATTATTAAGTTTGATGTAAGAGCACAATTTTTTAATGCAAGGCTTTATTTTTCTTTTTGAAGAAGGAAATGCACAGTGCTTCAAATGCTAAACTTTCCTTAATCATTTCTGTCTGTGGTCCCCAGTACATCAATAGGCAAAAGAAAGAAGCACCAAGGCATTATGAACACAAAACAACCATGTCCCACACAAGGCACACAGAGAAAGACATTTCTAATAAATGGGATAGGAAGCAGACAAGATAGTCTGAATCCAGACTGCAGAAAATAGTTATAGACTAGTGACAAGTGTTAAAACTTGTACTCCAATTAAGATGCTTTGCTCTTAGACCTACTAATTAAACTAAGAGGCAATTTGAAAAACAATCCCCTCAGTGCAAATGCACATTTAAGGTAATTACAGATGAACAGAAGCAAGGTTGTTCCAAAGCGAAGCATATACTTAGGCTTCTCTGCAAAGTCCCCCCAGGGCCTCAAATCATTAAGACAAGGCCCTCACAACACTTTTACAACACACACAATATGTACCACATCTGTGAGCCTTACCTGCCACTTCCACGATATCACCTGGCACAATGTCCCTTGCTTTGATTCTCTGAACGCTCTTTCGATCTTGTCGATACACTTTCCCCATTTCTGGTTCATATTCTTTAAGAGCTTCAATTGCATTTTCAGCATTTCTTTCCTAAAAGACAGCAAAACCATGTAATTTAAGAAGCCTTCAAGGTATGGAAAGATAAGCATGTCAGACCCGATCTTCCAAATGCAGTATCATACAAATACTACTTAGCTCAGCTACATTTATTCATACAGAAAATGATGTGACACATCCCCTCACTACGTGGCTGACTGAAAATCATTACAATGCAATTCAAGTATTAGTGGGCATTTAGAAGCCACTTGATGTTTATTTAATCCAACAGCATCTCCCATAAAGAATACCCACTGTGTCTTGTTATAGGGAGGCCACAAACAGTAGTATGTAACATAAGGATTCATTTTGGCACTAAAAAAAGAAGAACTAAGTAGGATTACAACTCAGAGATATAGTCTAGTTTTCACATGTACCTCACCACTTTGAGCAGCTTACAGTCAGACTGCAGCAGGCTAGCAATACTGAGTTCCATTTACTAACAGAAGACTAGAATCCAACTATTTAGTTATAGCCTACTATGGGTCAGCTACAGACCTAGAACTTGGTTTCCCCAACATTATTACCAGCATCATTTTTGCAGATCAAATAACACCAGACTAAAATCTAAGCATAGTAATTAGAAACTTCACATCTCTAACAGCTAACAAACTTGGATGAATCCTCACACGAGACCTCCTCACTTCCCATCTCAAGTGCAGCTCTCTCAGTGAACCACTGCTAGAAACTGCTATCAATGTTGTGATTCTGCCCAGATAGAGGACAATGTAAGAAATTATCATTACTGCTGCTCTACCTCAAGGAAGAGCAACTTATTCCTTATTTTCCAGCCTTTTGACAGGTACAGACGTCATACAGTCCTGACGACTGCAGATAAAGGCATGGGTACATACAGTTATTAGAACGTCTGCACTTCAAACACGTATCAGCCTTTTCAAATACAAACCCCAGCCAGCACACAATCTCCAGAAAGTCAAAGGCTGAGGTACTTCCATACAACAAAGCAGCTCACACAGCACTACCAAAACTCCCCTGAAGGACTTCTGTTTACACTGTATACAGCTCTGTGCCAGGCAGCACACAGCTACCAGCACAGGTTCCAAAAGCTGGGATTACTCCTAGTCTGGTATTTAACCAGGTAAATAAACTCTGTTCCTCAACACTGTAGCACTGATATCATCCAGCTACAACATACCCTCAGTGTCTGAAACAATGTTTTTTTTTTCCTCCCCCAGTTCGCTTGATTTTAAGGTAGCTACCAGGTCCTCTCAATCCTTCAAGTATTAATAAGAGGCACTTTGGGAAAAGTGCAAGTGAAAAAGAAGGTTGAGAAGGGCAGAGCTAAGGCAATGACTCACTTGCTCACATCTAGTACCTGTAGCAACAGATACACGTATGGGTGGAGACTTCGTGCTGTGACTCTTTCCATGCCCATTTCAAAAAAGGCTATGAGTCATTTAATCCATGCTGCAGCTGTTTCACAATTCAGTTCACTACATGGAGGCACACAAAGATTCTCTGCACACTTTTACCACAGCTGAAAAACTGATCATTTCTTGCACGAGTTTCAACATTCACGCAGGAACATTCACAAATATACAGACAGCTTTACCTTACATCTTATGCTTCAAATTATTACATGCAGAGTTGTAACTCAAAGATTAATTCTTGTGCAACAGCTTCACAAAGATTTGAATACAAAGGGACAGTTAAAGGTGCACTGCTGTTACTCCTCATTCTACATTACCTCTTCCCACCATACCAGCTCTAGCTGTTGTGCAGCAAGTTGGGTGTTGCTAAAAAGTGAGTCTTCTGAGTGTCTTCAGCCAGCTAACTTGTGTTTGCACAAAACAAAAAAAGCCTGGAGCCTAACTAAGACAGCAAGTAATTACGTCACATTAATCCCAGCTCTTTAAAAAATTTAAAAAGAACATCAATTACTCTAAAACCCTGCAATACTTTTTACCTGCAGAAAAGCAATTCTAAGAAAATGTGCTTTGTTTGAAATGATCAATTTGGCAAGAGAAAGCTGTTCACATAATTCTGACATCTTAAGACTCAGAACACGTTACTGCCAACACTATTTAGAAGAAGAAATCCAATTAATCTCACAACAGATAATGCAATATCTTTCAGAAATAACTCCTACCTCCTCATGAAAATGCAGTCTTCATAAGTTTAATTAAAATTGCAACAACTGAACAGGTAGAATGAATACCTTGTTAATTGTACCAATTGTACCTAATTAACTGTACCAATAAATGCACTAAAGCATAGTATTTGTTGTCAACAGGAAACAAACAAGACAAGAGTTCTATCTGACTTTTTTTGTTGTTGTTTTGCCAACTGATCCAACTGGTTGCTTCTTAGCTTTGCAGTGTTTGATTCAGTTCCTGAATTTGGGATTTCACACTGGACTGTTTAATTCTTGTGTTCATCAGCATGTGGCCAAATACACTGAGGTCTCTTTGGCAAAACTTGCAAAGCTTTTGTTTCACCTTTAATCAACTCCTGCTGTCCTGAATTTATACGGTACATTGACTCTTAAAAATCTAAAGCTGGCAAAGTACATTGCTTGCATTGTATGAAGCATCTGACAGTACAATGTGCAGTTCTTCATCTCAAACCAGAAAAAGCCAAGACACTTGTGATTGGTGTTGCAAAAAACATCTGCATACCTGCCACACTCCCACAATTGCATTGGCTACTAATATAAGTAAGATTACAAAAGGCTCTACAAATGCTGTGATTGTTTCTTCACCTTCTTCAAACCAGGCCAGCACCTGTGAGAGAGAAACACCAATTTTAAATTCAGTGATTTACATAGATACATTGCAAACCTAAGACCAGATAGCTTGAGGTTCAACTCCCCAGACCTGAGCAGTTTTGAAGTATCTTCAGATCTTCCAAGCTCTTGAACAAGCCAGCAATACACAATGGAAAAGGAGACAATCTTTAATGAAGTAGCACAGAGTTCATTCCCAAGCCTGCTCTCCTTTTTGGGAACCACACTGCTACTCTTGCTTCGAAAACAAAAGCAGAAGTTACTGTGAAAAGGCTACGGCAGTGAAAAGTTGCTAATTCTTTTTTTCCCCCACAACTGTCTGAAACAAAATGTAGATTGATTAGTTCAACTTCTAAGTCACAGCACTAGAGCTGTGCATGGTGAAGGTTTATGGATGGCTGGAATCTGAATTTCAACTAAACCATTCGTTATCCAATTAGACACATAAATGAAAATAGCTTTATAAATTTTCAGTGAGATATGAGAAAGAAACATCTATAAATTAAAATATAAGCAGTGCCTCACTGAAGCACTTAAGTGAACTGTACAATTCCATCTGAAGTTGAATTCTAAGCCAAGTACCTAATATAAATTATAACACATTTTTCCTTTAAGTAAATCAACTGGATGACTTGCATAAAAGGCTCCAAGATGTTTAGTTCATTTACTTTCTATCTGTGCTCTAGTTTTAGGATTCTGCCATTCACTTCACTTCTGGAGAATGGGTGAGCATCAGGCCCCTACAGAGCTCTGCAGCTACTGAAGAAAAGTCAAGCTAACGTGACCAGAGAGGAAGAGCTTTTTCGTCAGTGTATTGAGCAACAGGAAGCCTGGAAAGTGACAGTAAATAGGAACAACGTGTTGAGATAATTAGGGCTGGTAGTCAGGCAACAGTGCTCTGAATCACTACAAGACTGCAGTGAGCAAACCATTACTAAAGCAAGCACCACAAATCCACTAACATGCTGCTCAGAGCTATTGCTCAATTGTGAAACACTCCAGGATGTTAAAAGGAAGAAGGAGCAGCAGCATGAAAGCCTCAAGCAGAAAACAGACCGTCAGGCAAATCCAATGCAACAACAAATTTTATTACAAAAGGATAAACTTGTAAGATGCAGGTTACGATTAATAAGAATGAAGCACCCCAACTGGCAGTGCAATATGTTGAGGGTCTGAGCGATCCATCTGGAGAAGAGATGGAGTTAGGAGCTATTACACTCTCCACAATCGCCATCAACCCCAACTGGCTTCTGCCATCAGACCTGCTGAACAACGCAGACTTCGTGGCAGTCTTCAATCATCACATCACCCTTACACCATGGACAGCTTTTACTCTGCCACCCCTACAAAAGCTACACAAAGGGCTAACAGTCCATCTCACTTTTCCCAGCACAGACAGACTCACACAACCATTAGAAAAAGCTGCTTCATGTGTTTCTTTCCTCCCTTTCTTTACTGGAATTCTCAATAATTGAGTTACCCTGTCAATACATAGCACTGAATCAGAACCTGTTGCAAGTTGAAGACCATATGGGCTGTAAAACAACACTGAGAAACCCTGCAACTTTGAGAGGTGAGGAAAGCAGCTACAAGGGAGGACATAATACAAATACATCAAGGAGAACCAGAATTCATTACTCAAAGGATCTTCCCTTCGATAAACCATTACTTCAAAAAGAGCAGACAGATTAGAAGCACTGGTAGCACAAATCTATTAAACTGTTTTAGATCTTCAGCTGCTTGTTGGGTGAAATTATCAATTTATAACTAGATTAAAACTAAATAACCCATTAATCCTGGCAGCAAGACACCCATCTCCCTGCAAAAGTTTCCATGCAGTTATTAACAGGGCTCTAGTTCTAGAATCTAAATATAGCCACATATATTACAGAACACATTAATGTGAACGCTTGGTTCTACTATAGCAAATTACTGCTTCATTAACACTCCATTTAGGACATTTGTGACAGGCAACACACACTGCTGTAACAGGTGAGATTTTTAATTTGGTACTAGCCTGATGTTAAAACAAAAACCAGCAAATCCAAAAGGTTGAGCAAGGGGTTTTTAATGAGGCAATTTCAGTAACAACAGCTCTTATGCTAAAACCTGTAACTCGTGTCCAAGGTATTGAGCTTATGTTACAAAGCTTCCACTTGCACACCGAGACCCTCAAGAGGCTTTCCTGAAAGTTCTTGTCTGCTACTCAGAATGGCCTCCACCACTGAAGAAGTTTAGAATAATAAGAACAAAAATAAGTACTCAGGAGAAATGGGAGTCTGAAAGGTAAGGGAAATTAACAGCAATACCCAACAGTCCCACGCCAACAGGCAAGACGGGCAGCTCAGAGGACAACTTTCATTCAGCACACTGACTTTAGGTTGCTGGAGTTACAGTGTGCAGGAAGAAAGAAAGGGGGAATCAGAGATACAAGGCAGCAGTCAGCCAGCAATGAGGGAGAATGCTGACCAACACAGCTAGGAAAGACACATCCTTACAGCCTTTGGCATTTCTACAAATTAAGTTACTATGGCAAGTTGGCCCAGGTGTGTATTTATCATTAAGCAGACAACTGAATTAAAAGAATGGAAGTTTCAAGATAAAGTTCTGTTGCCCAGCAGGCTGTAGCCACCAACAGAAGGAAACAGGTTTATTGACATGTCAACAAAAAGGTTTTTTGGGAACTCAGAAGCAAGCAGATGGAATAGGAGCTCATCCTGACCAAAGAAAAGCCTTAAACTAATTAAAGTTGGTGATGCAGAACTACAGTCAACTTTTAAGTGAGCTTTCTTTTCACAGGACACTTTGAATTAACATTCAGTACATTTTGGACAGAGTACTAACTGCTGCTCAGAAAGCCCTCCTTTAATGATTTTTCCTTTTCAATACAAATTAGCTTAAAATGAAGCAGATGCAAACTATTTTAGTAGTCTTGATACTCGCCCCAGTTACTTTTCAGGTACCTGAACACCAGGAAGCACCAAAGAGAACTCCTCCAGTTCAAACAGGATTATTATTTGCTACCCAAGGAGAATACATATATAATCTTGACCATAAATATTAATGGAGCATTATATTGAGTTAACAGATCCTAAGCACCCACCAGATAGAAATGCTACTCTGTATTTCTTAAATGAAAACACATTCCTGTGATCAGCATTAACAAAACCAAGGAAAAAAAAGAAAGATACACAGCACTCCTGTTCAATTTACACAAACTAAAACGGAATCACTGCTGTTATGCTACCCCACCACTTGGTATCTCTAGCCCTATTGAGTAACTTTAGTTCAGCTAGAAGAGTGCCAGTGGGAAATACCTCAGCCACTGCTCTGGGGCCACATGCAGCTCCTGACCTTAACAGGTAGCTCTGGGGTGATCCCAGGGCAAAGCCTGCTGTGTTCTACCAGCACACCTTACTGCCTCCACCAGCAGTTTGCTCACCTTTTACCACAAATGAGGCCATACTCGCTGTAATTCATAGGCTCTAAGTTTCAACAAGTTTTTGGTCGAGTTTCCAGTCTGTATTTCATTTTGTAGAAAAGAGTTCCATAAGGATGTGATGCAAAGGCAGGACTGTGCAGTGAAACACACGCTGCTCTTCAAAACATTATTCTGAATTAAGATACAAAAGTAACATTTTGCAACTTGTAGAAGTCATTTACAGAACAAGGCTTTTTTTTTTTTTTTTTTAAAAATTAAACTTAAATACAGCAGATTTCAGAGAATGTTATAGAAGGACTAAAAAAGCCAGAATTCACAGAAAATTAAACATCCTTTTACTTGTACCTAGAATTCAGGCTACAAAGGCCTCTGAACTGCTGAGATCTACTCCGCAAATGACCTCTGTGTAAGCTTCACCGTTGTCTGACAAAATATTGAAACAATGTCCAAGTCTGCATTTAGCTCCATTTACTCAACATCACAAATCACACAGTTTCCCTTCAAAAGCCATACCTTCAGGCCAGTAAAAATATTGGAGAAATAACAGCGTGAGAATTTAAGCAGTTACTAACTTGGCACATCTGTAACAGCAGCTCCAACCTGGAATGCAGCACACAATACCTACAGCCAAGGCAACAGGCAGCAAATGACCCCTACAATCAGCTAGGGTGACACGGATTCAGCTGCTAGCCTGATTTATTTTTACTGACACATACCTGACAGGCCTTGTGGGAACACAGGACACAAAAGGCACTCAGAACAGAACGCTGCGCTGCGCAACAGGCGAGGTCTCTACACCAAAATGTAGCTGGATGAAGACCTTGATATTCAAGACTGTTGTTTTTCTATGCCATCAACTGTAACATTAAGATTCATGGCCACAACCACCAGAAAAGCTTCCAAGATAAGAAACAGTAATCTAACACACCTTGATGTGCCACCTCTCACATCTGAACCATAAAGCTTTACAGCGTACAGCTGGTGAAGAAGTGTTCTGCTCCTTGCACTGCCCTGCAGCACTTGTGCCTTCCTGAAAGCACGCATTACAAACGTGTGCCACAGCACAGCAATGTGTGTTCTCTATTTGATCTTCAGTAAGCACAACCGTTCAAATTCAAATTAGAGCAAGTTTTCACTGACACACTCAGGAAAGCTTAAAAACACGGTCTTGTTCCTGATTCTAACACTCTGCTCTCTCACTAGTAATTCAAAGGCTGAGCAAGAGTTTGGAGCCAATGCTTGGTAAGCCATTTTTCCCTATTCACTGCCATTTAAACTACTCATTTAAGCATCTTGACAGAAATCCTCCTTTGGATATGCACCAGGTCTAAAAGTCTTCAGCTGCAAGTTATTTCAAAGAGGAGCCATTATCCACGCTTACTTCTGTTGTTACACTACATGAAGTCCTACTTTCTACTCCAATACTATAGTTTAAGATCTATCAAACAGTAATTCACAGTAAAATGCAGTCACAGAACTGAAGTGTGAATCAGCACTTCACCAGGTTCCAGAGTATGATTCTGAGGGGTCCAGCTCTGCCCCCAGGACGTCACAGTCTTGACTTATTAAATAAAGAGCAGTTCTCAATGGTATTACTCAACAATCAAAAACAACAGAAGTTTAGCTGACTCCTTTTTAAGCCTAATTATCCACTTCAAGATCTCTAAGGTACAGGGAGTTCTGCGTGCTTTGCAACAGAACAAATGGCAAAATTGAATTCTTAAGGCTTGTAAAAGACAGCACAATGCACACATGGAAGTTAACTTTTAACATTGAGTTATTCCATCATAAGAATGGTTTAGCATAATTTACAGTTCCAGCTTTACCTACAGCTCCAGTACTCAAAGCAGTGCTTTAAAGTTCTCTGACCACAAGTCTAACATAGCTACACACTGCTCAAACATCTTCAGGAACACAAATTACCCAATGTTAACTGCATCCAATTTTACAGCAATCCAGTCCATCTATCAACATTTTCAACAGCTCCTTACTGCTACCATGAAAGCTTCTAATATTCTTTCATCAAGAAGCTTCAAAAGAAAAGAAGGGAACGGATGTTCCCTTTCTGAACAGGAAAAAAGACAGAAACAAAGGGGAAGTGCTTTACAAGTGTCAAAAGCAAAATATAACAGGATTTTTCCTTTATAATTCACTGAAAAGAAAACCCCTGCCATTTCTGAATTAGTGTTACAGTGCATAGCCAGAACTCTTAAATGGGAGACACAGCAAAGGCAAAGCAGCAGTCCAAGGTCATACACCATCCCAGCAGCACAGAAGCAGACAACCTAGATCTCTCCTCCCTCTGTCCTTTTGGAGCTCAATCTCCCCACAATTAACAAAACTAAGCATACTGAAAAAAGAAATGGAACCCACTTATTAAAAGGTTGCAGTGTGTGCTTGGCAGTACACAACCTCTGTCACTCTGGCAATGCACTCAGTACTCACATCCAGCAATGAAATCTTTTAAGTTTGGGGAAGGCGATTTCTTCACTTACCTGGTTATAATAAAAACAGGTAATTTGCAATAGAATAAAGGTTAACAGTATTCTGCGCTGTCATTTATCTCATTCTCTTTTCCAGTCCTCCGGGAGGAGAAAATGAGAAAAGAGGAGGAAGGAGAGTTTTAAAATGACCTGCTTATCCACATTTCTATGGGTAGCTTGATTTCCTCTTCAGGAGACAGAAGAGTGAGTAAAGCACATCAATCCCCATGGTCAAGATCAACACCACCAAGCATTGCTCAGCTGGTAACTGCACACACACCAAAACCCAAGAGGTGTCTGCATGGCGATAGCTAAACCTGCCTTGGTCAAGAAGCAGCAGCACAATACGCTGCAGCAACCACACCAGGACAACCTTTCCCCCACATCTCCACAGAACTGTTTCTCCTCTGCCCATCGTAATTACTTTGCCCTTAGCTAAAGAGTCACCACAATTTCCACAACCCCCAAGAGCTGCTGCTTTATTCTATAAAGCAGTTAATTACAACTCCGGGGCAAAGTCTACTATAAACTTTGACTTCTAAACAATTTAATATTCTGCACACTTTTCTTTCTGTCACCCAGCTCCCTAAGACACAGAGCTTTCATCTTCCCTCTATACCTAAAGAGCGTGTTCAGTTTTCCAGTTTTTCAGCAATGCACTCTTCATGTATTGCGTAAAAGGACCAGCTAAACGTGTTCACAAAGAAATTCAGTTGAACTCTTCTTGTTCTTTCAAAACTGTACGCCAAGCAAGAGGTCCATTTTATGACTATCCAAAGGTCAGTTACCAAATTTGGTCAACAATGGTGCCATCACAGCCGTCATCATTCTTGTCACTGTCAAAAGCAACAACTGTCACCTTGCTATTATCAGGAAGGGAAGGCAACTGGAATACTCGCCATGTAATTCTATTTCCAGTGTGCACTGCATCCAAAAATGTCTTCCAATGATTACACATTGAGCTTGATAACGATTAACTCAAAGGCAAGAAGAGTGACCAGTTAAACGCTTACTCAAGGTTAGTTTTCAAAGCCAACAAAAGCATTGGGAAATCCCACTTCAAACATGCAAGCTGGGTTGAATGAGAAGTGCCTTTAAAATACCTGTCTAGTGTAGTTATGTACTTCTGACTCATCCCATAACAGATTCCCTGAAACTCTGTTTTCAAGCACACAAAAGTCTCTTCACAAGGTAATTAATTTAAAAGAGAACAATTTACTTAGCATCTTCTACTTCTTGGAAGAAGAAGAGCAGTGTGTGAAATTCCTATATATTAAACACAGGTTGGTCCTGAACCTCCTACACACAGATCGATGAAATAAGAGCTATTCATACTTACAAAAGATATGCAAGCTGCCAGCAACAGAATTCTAACTAGTAAGTCTTCAAATTGTTCAACCACAAGCTCGAATAAGGTTTTTCCTGCAAAATGTACAGACGACATTAAGATTTAGTCATGCATGCAAAAAAGAAAATCAATTACTGACAAGAATTTGTAGAAAATTTTATTGAAATACTTACCTTCCTCAGCTGGTAACTCTATCAGTCACGGATTTTTTCAGGCAGCATGTGAGAAAAAAGAAAATGATTGAAAAAATCATTAGAGCGTTATAAGACATCCACCAGATACTGCTCTCAGTTTGTAGACTCAACTGGGCTGGAAAGCCATACTGAAATAGCTATTAAAGGGGCTCTGTTCATCAGAGCATCGAATGGGCCTGCTAGTCGTGTGCTTACGGCACACACAGGTTAGCTGGGATCTGCTGAGGGTTATGATTCAGCCAAGTCATCACTCCAGCCAGCTGTGTGACTTCTGTTGCTGCATACAAAGGGTCAAAGGCTCAGAATGCTTTCCAAATGCTGATAAAGATTTTTTCCCCACCATCGATCACAAAATTAAGAAAAAAAAAAAAAAGGAAGCTTGGTTTAAAATATTTTGAGTTCTTTCCTCACTTGAGGATTTTCTTATTTCTGCTCTCCCTTTATTTCCCCACAGCTAGAGGCGTGGAAGGGACGTTCAAGCTGAACAAAAAGAAAAAAGTGTAACCTCACAGCTTTTTATTTTTGTACAACACCGTGAACGAGGCCGAGAAAAGAGGATTTATTAAAAAACATACGACAGAAATACCTCATCCGCATAATTTTGTGCCACGGTTCGAAAGAAGAATGTAAAAATTTGGGCCAAAAAGGCATAGGGAAGCAGGGGAAATTGAAGGATAGGGAAAAGAAGAGCGAAGAGCAGCGATCGCTCCATCTCAGCACGGCAGGAGCCCCGCGGGGGGGGGCGGCGGAGCTGCCAGCCCCGCTCCGGGCTCTGAAAGAAACCCACGAGGTGGAGTTGCAGTCAGCCATCTTCTCTGCCGCGCTCCGATTCCGGGTCCTGCAAGAGATGCCGGCTCCGCTCGCACAGACACGTCAGGCCTCGGAGCGCGGCCCCGGGAAGGACGGGAGGGCAGGAGAGCAGCGCGAAGGAGGGGGGGAAGAGAGGAAAGAGCCGAGGGCGGCATCGCGCCGCTCACCTACCGTTGGAGCCCCATTTCTCCTTCAGCTTCTTCACTTGCTCCAGGCTGAGCCCGGTGCTTTCGTTGACCCCGAAATACGCCAAAACTTCCTCCACAGTCTTTGTGTGCGCGTTCTCCATGGTCGGGGCGGGGAGCGGCAAATGGAGCCTCGCTTCTTCTTCCTCCTCAGCCGCGGAGTGCCCCC